TGATGAGCGCGAGGTGCTTTAAAGGGATGAAACGAGCGAAATGATGGACATGCTCTGTTGCTGCAGGTGCTCAGATATTATGAAACCTTGACCTACTTTAAGGTTCGCATGGAAAGAGGAGCAAAGGGCGATGGGATAAGGGGCAAAATTTGGTCTCAAAGGATTTATCTACCAGCTCAAAGTTTTAATTGTATTTCCTCATGTTTCTACCGGTTTCATCAACTGACACCATAGGACTACGTCGTCGACCCGGTGGTCGAACCATATGTTCTCAGACAGTAATATGCGACGTTAGAATCTGGTAGAAAGAAAGCGACTGTCTGCTTCTGCGCCCATCTTTTTTCATATTGTCGGTCATGGATTATAAGAAGAAAATTGGCGGTTGATGGCACAGCGATGTCTGGATAAACATACGTGCTCAAATCGATTTGCAGTTTTCGTTCAAACACACGATTTACGTGTTTCGGTGGTAAAAAGAATCGGCTGCTCGATGCTTGCTTTTGCTCTCTGCTTAAGAGTGTCCTGTACAATTTACGGAACATACTGAGGACACTGGTTCCGTAATTATAAACCAAAAACACGTCAAATATGACACGTGATCTATCATTTATAGCATAGTTGCTGCCAGTCAGGTTTAACGTCGTTAATCATTTATAAGTTGATTTTGAATCGATGTGACATATCCCTTGCTATTCGAGTTACGGCATTGAAATGGTTATTTATATACAGTAAGAATGATGTTCAGGACGACGTACCTTAGGTATATGCCTTAGGTGGATCCATATGAATGCCTTTACTTAATGACGCAACATTTGGCATTCCGTCCCCTCCCTTGCTCCTGGTCGTCCGAAAGGAGCGTTTAAACGAACCACGGCTTCATGGTATTTGAGCACTTGCAGTGCCAAATGCATTTCGCATCATTTTGTCCGTTCGGGCCACCAAGAGGCACCTTACGCTCACCACAAGCGATGTTTCTCCTAAGGGCTGGTATTACTAATATAATCCTCACACCTCGTCAAAATGGTAACTAACTGCCAAGTAAGATCTACCACTGAGACTGCCAGCGATCACTGGAAGTGGAAGCAATGAAGTTGGTAAAGGTGGCGAACACAGGGACTGGAGAATAGTGTACAGGCAGATTGAATGACAACGGTGAAAAGAAGCAAATGGCTACACGTGTGCTGCACAGCGAGAAAAACGAATTCCTGCCGGACGCTGTCAGCCGTCGGAAACGATGGACTCAACGTTTTGAAGTCTTGCCGAACAGACCTAGCCATGTCCCCTAAGTCGATTTTTCTGGACTTCAGCGCTGCCTTCGGTTAATTCAACCGCCACACGCTCTGACGGTCGTACATCTGCAAGGAATCCCAGAGAAGAACCTCAGCCTAATGGAACGAACTTATTGGGCGGTATCAAATGAAGGCGCCTTGCTGGACTGTTAAAGGTTTTAACGACGTGCTCTCACTGCTGCTGTTAAACTTTGCGGTTGATTTTACGATGCATTCTTAAATAAGGACACATTTTACAATCAAGTGAAGAAGAAGCTCCAGATTTTTTGGCCATCCATTTGACCGACCTGAAATACGCGGACGACATTGTTCTGCTGTACCGGAAGAGACCTTACTACTTGTGTGTGCAAAAAGGCAGTCAATGTGGGCTACTAGTTATTGGCCAGTGGTTGGCCCAGTTCTAATCGGCTGCTTCTCTTTGATTTTTATTCATATCGGGGTATGAGGAAATTTTGTTACGAGCAAGTAACTCTCTAATTTGCATGACTGGAACTATTCAATAAGTAAAAGATTTAAATACAATGTCAGTCTCCCAATGAACG